GCTCGGTTCCTGCCTGGGCCATGTAGGAGGAGCCGGGTGAGCCCAGAGTCCCTCCTGCTGTGCCTGGTCACCCAGCAGCTGCCAGTGCCCAGCAGCTGGCTGAGCCGGGGGAGGACTAGAAGGCAGCTTCCTGGCTGCTCAGGCGTGTGTTTCTGGGCTTGGGAGGAATGAGCCCAGCTAAAGTGTCTGAGATCTTCTGCCCACCTAGCGCTGAGCCCAGCTAAAGTGTCTGAGCTTGGCACTTTCCCTCTGCAGTGCCCTTCCTTCTGCCCACTGCGCTCTCCATACCCAACTCCTGCTCTGAAAAGGGAGAGCTGAACTGCTCCTGCGCTCTGTCCCCTGCCCACTACTGGCATTCAACAGGCTGGGAGCTTCCCTTGCAAGACAGGGATGTGTGCAGGTGAGCTTGGAGGGGGATTTGTACGGCGGTCAAGGAACCCTCTAAAAAAAAAAATCACAGACTGGGGTAAAGCTTGGGGATGGGAGAGGAGCAATTGGACAGGGCAGAAGTGTCGGAAAATGACAGAAATGTAAAAAGTCACCATGCTGACGAACTCACCACCAGGTTTCACAGAATTAGCCCTCTACCAGTAATCCTGCCAAGACAATTCCAGAGGTTAAATCAAAAAGGCTACAGCTGGACTTAAATTAGAAGCAATTAGGACGGGGCTTCCGAGTGGCCTAAAGAAGCCTGACTGTCACCTCAGGGGTGGGGACGCCAGCAAAGGCTCAGGCACTCTCATGGCTTGCTCTGTGGATTAATAAAATGAAAACTTTTAAAACCAAATCTAACTATACTTGTCTCAAATAAAACGAGGAGATAAAGGAGGGTATTTCTAGATGTGGGAAATTAAATCCTCAACACGTAAATATTTTGAAAGATCCAAAATAAAGATAATCCAAACTGAAAATCCAATTCAATTGTTATACAGAATCATAACGGAGATGACGCTTACACGGGTAAATTAAATAGACTGCCTTTTAAAATAAAATTAGGTAGGGCCAGGGATTTAGCTCAGTGGCCTAAACACCTGTCTAGCAAGCGCAAGGTTGGGAGTTTGATCCCCAGTACCAAAAAAAAAAAAAAAAAAAAAAAACAATTAGGTAAGTCAAAATCACTCTAAATTGTATCAGAGCAATCAAATTGAGACTCTGTCCTGAAAAAGATAATCAAAAAGCCCACTCTTGCCCAAGGAAAGTTCTCACTGAGCACATACTGTCCAGTTCTGCGAGGCCCCCATGGGGCACTGCAGTGGGCACACACATCCCTCCTGGACATGCCGGGAAGGATGCCAGGGCCGGTCCCTCAGCTGTATCTGTGCTCTTCAGAATGTGGGGCTTTTTAAAATCTCTTCTGAGACTTCTCATTTACACCTCCAGGGGTCCGCACACAGCCTCACAGATCAAAATCAGGGATGATCTCTGGTAAACAGATGAAGGACCCACCGGCCTGGCCATGCCCACCGGAGGCCAGGGGGGTACCCACATCTCCACAGTGTGTAAGGCGCCCTTGGCCACTGCTTTTCCCACCTGCACACGCTTTCCTGGAGGTACAGCGTGAGCTGAGTCACCAGAGCACATCTCAGTCTTCTACAGCTAGCGTTGATCAACAGGAATTTAGACTTTAGAGTTCAAATGAGGCTTGAAGTTAGCACGAAAACTATTCCTAGCCTGCCCTCAGATTAAGGCCCTAATTATCAAACAATCTGAAGATGACGATCAAGGATGCCCTTCAGTGACATCACAAGGGACAATGCACGATTATCTCCTGCTACCAGGTGTCCCGGAGGTCCCATTTCTGCAGGGCATTGCTCTGCTTGGTCTCTAACACGGAAAGCAGGGGTTTTTGTTTGTTTTTGTCTTTGGTGGCACTGCGGTTGAGCCCAGGACCTTGCACATGAGCTACACCCTCAGCCCTTTGGATTTGGAGACAGGGTGTCACTGAGGTGCCCAACCTGGCCACGAATTTGCTGTCCTCCTACTTCAGCTTCCCGAGTAGCTGGGAGAACAGGTGTGCACCACCACATGGCTGGATGGGAGTTTTATTCTTTTTTGATTTTGTTTTTGAGTACTGGTTATCAAATTCATGACCTTGTGCTTACCAGGCAAGTGCTTGAGCCACTGAGTTAAATCTCCAGCCCTGGACGGGAGTTTTAAACTACTTTGCGATCCACCCAGAAGTTACTACAACATAGTGAGGCCACTCTCAGCCACACGTAAGGTGAAACAGTGGCTGGGGGTGGAGAGGGGAAAGAAGATGGAGCTTCAAAGGGCCAGAGGCAAATTCCCAGCCCTATAGAAAGCCCCCTCCTCATCTCCACCTTGACCTCCTCTAGAGGTCCTACCAGCGGTCCCATGCTCCAGCCCAGCCCGCCAGGACCCATAGCTGCATGCAAAGCCTGCCACAGTCTCGGTTCAGATGCAGTGCTCAGAATCCGAGGAAAATACCATTTGCTACTTTGAAAACTGTACAGGTCCTATCTGGGGAACAAAAGCATCACAGGGGTTGTTTTGAAAGACAGAAACAAAGGCTTGCTTACTCCTTGACCTTGAACACTGATACTTTATGCTGCAGATGAACATAAAAACTAGCATTTCAAAGCATCTTTCAGAGCACACTACGGTGCCCTGAGTGGCTGTGCAACCACTGTCACAGCTTTGCCACCTTCCCAAACTGAAACCCTGTGCCTCACAAACACTGACCTCCCACTCTCCCCTTACCCAAGAAATGCCAGCCCCTTACCATCTTTTAATAGCTGCCAAGTTGAGGTGATACGTCCTGGAAAATTACCATGGGCAGGCTTGATCAGGACAAGGCCACCCCACCTTTGTGACCCGATTCCTCCAGGAATCTGTCCCAGCCCAGTTAAGAGCAGACTACGGTGCCCTGGACTCCAGGACCAAGTCACTAGCTGCACCTAATCCTTGGTTTGATTCCTGGTACCCACCTCCCACAAAAAAGAATGCCCTGCCTGTCCACTCCACAACTCCCTGAGAAATACCCACTAATGGGGTGCACGGCGGACTACGAGTCAAAGGCAGCGGCTCGGAAGGAAAAGTGGGGTCTCTGGGACCACACAGGGGAGCTAGGATAGTTAGGCAGGGACAGAGAGCACTACAGGCATCAAAGACTTGGCGCTAGGTGAAATCATCTGGTTACTGAAGGACAGAGTCCACGTGGTTGCCCAGGGGTGACGTCACCACAGGCATCCAGGCCAGAGAGACGGGAAAAGGCAGGAGGCCAGGGCTGGAGGAGCAGCAGCAGAAATCAGTGCTGAGTTTCAGACTCGAGGTGATAAATTTATGCAGATCTCCTGCATAACCATGTCAGCATCCATCACTACAGGAGTCCTAATAAAGATGGTCATGCGGATGCTGGATATTATTTGGCCTAAAATATTTAAAGGTTTTTGTTTTTACCAGTCAACATGTGCAGTGCATCGTAATTACACTCATCATGGGGAACTGGTGCGCGTCCGGAACACATCTCAATTCTTACGTTCCCTTCCTCACCCTCCACCGTGATTTCTTTCTTTTAACAAAAAAATACATTTAAAAAAAAGAGAAGCAACAAAAAACGATTCCATTACAAGCTGTGTTAGAGTGCTTTTGGGAATACGGTCACGTGAAATGAGGAACGTGGATTGAAAACTGTTTTCCTTTTCACAACATCTTGAGAAGTAAACACGGGGCCAAAAGGAAAGAGATTCTCATCTGGAGAAGCAGGAAGGGCAGGCAGGCTGGGTAACGCCAGGTGGGACACTATTGTGCCTGGATGGGTTTAAACAGTTCAGCAGTGCCCGGCGCTTAGCTGAGAGAAATTCCTTTCTGTGTCCTCTGCTTACTTTCATTCATTCTGTGGAAATTGGTGCCATTCCCTGCCCCGGTTCCGGGGTGGACATCTTACCCCCCCGAAGTGCAGTGGACTTGGGGAATTAGCTCCTTTGTAGACTAGGTGCAGAGGATGGGCGCTCTTAGGGGATTAGTGCGACTGTAGAAGAGACCTCACCCCTTCTACCCCACGAGACAAAACAAGAAGTCGGTCTTGTGAGAAGCAGGGAGCAGGACGCTCGCTGGACACAGAAGCTGCAGCTCCTTCCGCCTGGCCCTTTCCAGCCTCTAGAGCCATGAGAAATGAGTCTCTATTGTTTACAAGCCTCTCTGTCTGCGGTATGGCATGGTATGCTGACATCAAGCCTGTAACAGACTAACAAATTAGGAAAGTTTAAGACGTTCTTTCTTTTCTTCTTCTTCTTTTTTTTTGTACTGGGAATGGAACTCAGGACTTTATGCTTGCCAGGTAGGTGTTTATGTCACTGAGCAATAATCCTGGCCCCAAGTTTAAGAATTTTAAGAGGGGAAAAAAAAAAAAAAGAATTTTAAGAGGGGGCCAGGGCTGGTGCTCAGGGGCTGAGAGCTTGTCTAACGTGGAGGAGGCCCTGGATTCCACCTGCGGACCATGAACAGGACTGAAGATGAAAGGGAGGAGGAGGTGGAGAGGGAGAATGCTTTTATTTTACTTTTCCAAATCTATTTTATTTCAAAGAAAGAAGGAGGAGGAGGAGGAGGAGAAGAAGGAGGAGGAGGAAAAGCAAACAAACAAAAACAACATAATTCAAAACCTGTCAGGGCATAGGAGAACAATTTTAAAAGACAGTGGCAAACATCAATGCATATGAACATGTTCTCATATATTATTACCTGCACCCTACACTTCTGATTCTGGGAAAAAGCAGAAGGTAGGACAGATACCCGGGAAAGAAGCTAGGAGACTACAGCATTCCCATGTCCCAGATGTGTCCCCGCCATGTTGAGAGGTGTGTGTACATCCGTCACACCCAGCGTGGACAGCCCACAACCCTCTGCGATTCTGATTCACCACTGAGAAAACAGCTCCAGGCACGTGTGCATGCCTGTGTGTGTGTGTGCGTGTGTGTGCAACACACCTGCCCTGCAGTGACACAAAGGACTGGGTGTGCAGAGCAGGGCGCTGTGCTCACCTGACCATAGTCTGTCCGGAAGACGACGACGCCCTCTGCACAGGAGTTTACAGTGCTGGGGAAATGCTGGCCACTTTCTCTCAGCCAGACCCGCGCTCCCTGCAAGCAGAAGAAACACGGGTTAGCCCTGACTTTGCATTTTATCTTATGGCCAGACAGCGCTCTCAAAATTACCATGACGCCTCATGGCTAAGAAAAGCAAATGTCTCCCTCCTGCCCTGAAGGGCCCTGGAAAGCAGCAGTGTCCGCTTTCCTACCCACCAGGGAGGCACTGACAGCGTGAGGCTCCGTGGCGACTGCACAGGTCCGAAGCCAGGCAGCTGAGCTCAGGGATCACAAGGTAACCATGTCACAGCTTCGCTTTGACAGCCCTGCGGGCCCTGGTGGCTCCCCGTCACACTGGCCCACTTGGAGGGCCTGAGGCCACTCCTGCGGTGGCCTGCATGCACCAAAATCTACACACTGACCACATTAAACTCAGTCGGTTAGGAGGAAACTGCTAGGGTCACACCAGACACCGGCATTTCCACGTCCTATGGCATCATCCTGAGCACTGGTTCCATTTTTGTTTTTTATTCTCCCATTGGGTGACTAGTGACTTAGGCAGGGACCCATGTGGGTGTCAAATCAAACAGATCCAATGCCTAACCTCAGGCGCTTTCCATATGCCACCCTAATTTCCTTTGTGCCCTTGAAATAATATGCAAAAGAACCAAATGCATTCATATATATATATATATATATATATATATAAAACATTAATTTTTTTGGTTTTTACTTAGCCTAGTATATCCATCTGTACTTTTTTTTTTTTTTTTTTTTTTGGTACTGGGGAATCGAACTCACAACCTAATGCTTGCCAGGAAGGTGCTTACTCCACTGAGTTAAATCCCTAGCCCACCAAATGTATTCATAAGTCCAACAATTAAAAAAATAACAAAGAGGTTGTTTTAAATGACCACTTCTCAGGTGTTAACTTATATGCTCTTGCTCATCTTCTTAAAGAGTGAATTTAAGAAGATGCAACAGTTTCACCTGAGAGTTGTTCCCTCAGCGTCACTGATAACCGTGTCTAAAAATCCATCAGCCAACATCTAAAACATTTTCCATCCCCCTGTTACTCGAGATCCCTGGGCGGTTAACCTTGAGTTGTATGAGAGCATGTCGGGCCACCTGAGCAAGGCTGCAGGGGCCCAGAAGGAGAGACGCTGGGCTCAGGCAGCTCCTCAAGTGTTTCCAAGATGGAGGCTTGTGGATGCATTGAGGTTGAAACTGAACGGACTCCTTTCCCCAATTATGTGACAATTCACACAACGCCCTAGGGAGCCCTGTGACCCTCAGCCAGGGCATGCATTTCCCAGGATCATAGGAGTTTTAAATTGTTCACCCATCCACACTTCTTGAACCATCATCCCAAAGAGGGGTCAGAGTCACCCACTATTAGATGAAGAAAAACAACACCTAAGACGAAAATGAAAACGAACTGCTGCTCCTGACCCCCAACGGCTGCCCATGCACAGAACACACATGAGCTCGGAGGGGCCCAGTTCCCGTCGCCCTCCAGTGAGTCACATTCCTCTGACTGCGGCTCTGGGCTGAGACGCTGGTAACACATGGAAAGAATGACACTTCCAACTGCCTGTCAGTCCTGATTTCTGTGCTCGAAAACAGCTGCTCCCAAAGCACGCTGACTTCCGGCGTGGCAGGGCTGGTCTCTCAAATTTCATTCCATTCCCCAACCGCACTATCTGTAATGTCCTGGCGTGAAGGCTTCCAAGGGCCTGGATGCTTTTGCTCACTCTCTTTTTAATTCACTGTCAGAGACCGTGACAGTTGAAAGCTTTGAAACACTTCCAAACACACACATCTACGCAGTAGGAAACTTCCAAAGCCAGCAAGGGTGGCCCTGTGGACTCTTTAGGTTAAAATCAGGAGGCAACAACAACTCACAGTGCCCCTCTGTCCCAGAGACTAAGTCCTTGGCTTGCTCTGTGTGAGGTCCATCACTTGGGTCACTTTCATCACAAAGGACTTCACAGTGCTATTTCCCATTTTGTTCAAACTGTCCATTAGGAGAATGGGATTCAGACTTCATTACGTGACATCACCATGTTAATGGAAACTGTCACCAGGATTCAGATAAACCCCCCACCTTCCCAAGACCACACAGCACACACTGCGTGCAGCAGGCAGCTGTTGGGGCTTCCTCAGAGCCTTGCATGGCTCTTTTTGCCTCCCCTTTCCAAGCACTGCACAAGGCCCTTTGTTGACACAGTGCTCCATGATCAAACACCAGGCTCAGTTTCTGTGTCCAAAGGTCCTTTTCAACAGGTGTGAAGAGCTGCTGATAAGCCAGTGATACAAGATTCCCAATCTGCAGCCCGCTGGCCAGTTCCCCTTAATCTATAATAAACAGTTGTCTCCCAAAAGGGAGATGAGAAATGCATTAAAAAAAAAACTCACTCTGTTCTTTGACAAAGTATCAACTGGTCTCAGAATCCTCTGAAACGAATTCTGTACAGATTGCTCTTGGCAGTTTCTCAGAACCCCCAATCTTCCCACATCCATTCTGTGAGAACAGAACATATATGTCCAGGTCCAAAAGAGGTCACCACAGCCATGTGAAAATGAAGTTCACGCAGACATGTACCAGACCATCTGTGACAGAGTGGGGAAGAAAAGTTTGCCCACCATATGCAAAGCATTACCCTCTGTCATTGTTCAATAAGGCTGATAATTTAATATATAATACAGGCAACCTACATAAGGAGGAAGCTCTGATTTGAATAAAAACAGCCCCTATCAGCGAATGGAACATGTTCAATCCGAGCATACATGTTTTATTAAAACATGGAGAAGTTTTTGTCTTAATCTCTGAGACTCATACTATGTTAACTAAAGACTTTCCTGCACATAACCACCAGTAACATTTTTGCAATACAAAGCACTTGCACATAAATTCTCATCTCCTTTGATCTTTAGACCCATCCTGTAATACCATGCCTTTCTTCAGAAGTGAGGTTCATGGAGGTTCCGTTTTCTTTGGCCAACAAGGGATTTCCTGGCTATAATAAAGAGACTGACTCTCTCCCATGTTGGTGAGGATGTAAAGACTGGTGGGAATGTAAGTGGTACATTCATCTACCTTGGAAAACAGTTTAGTCATTTCTAAAAAGTTAAAAACAACCTTTTATCACATGTCCCAAAAATCCAACTCCTAGACACTTACCCTCCTTAAGAGAAAAGTAATTTTGAAGTCTTACATGCAAGTATTTACAGCAGCAGTATTTATAATGGCCAATTGCTAGAAACAATTCAAATGTCTATAACTAGTATAGGGAGAAACAAAATATGGTAAAGCTGCACAGTGGAACTCCTTAGTATGAATCAAAAACAAACAAATAAACAAACAAAACAAACCAATACTGTATTAGCTTTCTCATACAAGCTTAAAGAAACAGAAATGAAAATTTGCCTCATGGTTTCAGAGGGGTTAGTCCATGGTTGGCTGTTCCAAGGCAGAAATCCCAGGTGGAAATTCCAGGTGGAGTGAAGCTGCTCACCTCACAGTGGCTGGGAAGCAGGGCACACAGGAAGAGGGCCTGAGAGTGACCCACCCTGAGAGTGACACCCAGCCCAGTGAGCCTCCTCCAGCCAGGTTCAGCCTCCTCCCAGTGCATTTCGATACGGGTATCAGTGGGTCAATCCACTGATGTGTAAGCACTCCCATGATTTGATCCCCTTGCCAAGAGTCTATTCATCCAGCCAGCTGACAATTACGATCCACGGACACAGATGTGCCCTGTAGATTCTCCAGCAAGGGTGATCCTCAGAAGTGTTACAGTAAATGAATGAAGTCAAACACAAAACACTACGTATGGTAGTGTTCCAATTTAGTCAAGGTTTTGGAAAAGGTCACTCTATAGACACAGAAAGAAGATGAATAGCTGCCCAGAAAGTTAGACAGAGGAGAGCCTCTGATAGATCTGAGTGAGAAAGAGCTTTGGAGAGTGATGAACTACAGGATGGTAGTGATGTACTAAAAGTCCGTCAACACCACAGCTACTTGGATAATTTCAAGTCATTTAAACTTTAAAGAGAATCGCTTTACTACTCAGTGTTATATGAATATTCTTAGCCAACCCATAGTAAGGAAGATCAATGCTGTTTCTATAATTGAGCAATGGGGAGTCAAGAAACATACTCTCCAAATCCATCATGATAGGTCCATGCTGAACTCTCTACTCTCCATTAACACAGACTGGGGTAGCTAGGAGACTGAGTCCTAATCTCAGGATGAGGCTACCGTAGACTATCCCTGTGCTCAGCGGCCAGGCAGGTCCCACGGGAAAACAAAGATTAAGCCCCTGATGAAGTGACTTGTGTCTGGCAGTGCCCACCCTACCCCAGTCAAGCAGCCTCACGGGCCGCAGCCCTGCCTACCATTCCCTGTTACACAGGTGTGGTTCCTGTGGCACGAAGGTGGCATGATGCCTGATGTTTTGACCTCCTGGCTCTCTACGCACATGGTTCCTGACCCTTCACCATCACAGAGTTCAACCTACCTACTATGGCCCTTTATAAACTAGGCTATTTCTCTTGATTCAAAAAATAATTGTCTTTTAGAAGGTAGTTTAAAGTCAAGGTAGAGCAGCAACCCAAAAGAGAGAGGCGATGGCCTTAAACGTGGACTCGGGAGGTGTGTTCTACTCACGGTGAACACTCAGTGGAGAAGCTCGCAGCCCAGCCAGGCTCAGGATGGGGCTCCAGTTCCCTGGTCCCACACCTGCTCACCCGGCTGACATCAGTCCCACACGTGAGCAGCTTTCAACAACCTACGGGACTGCATCACAATTTTTAAAGATTCCAAGTTCGAATAATGTTAGCCTGAATCAGTAAATTAACAGGGCTACTGTATCTGCAGTAAATTCAGCAGCCAAAGGAAAGCTTTTCTCGTTTTGTCTGTCATACCCAAATTCAGAAGATGGCTGGTATAGAAGCCCGAGGCGGGGGTAGGGACCTTGTTCTTAATAAATTCCAGAATGTGAGTAGTACGTTGTAATATTATGGCTTTAAATGCACTTTTTCTCCTATTGTAG